CTGGAAAGAAAGGATGAAAATACCCAAAGGCACCCTCACATGTCATGCTTATACCAACTGGATTTTGAGTCGGCTGGTTCAAGTTGTGTTGCTAAACATATTTGCATGTGAATCAATTATTAAGCTCAGGAATATGTAGCCTTTTGGAAACTTTCGCAGCTAAAGTTTGAAGTCTCTTTATTATACGATGTTTTACTGAGGCTGTTTCTTTACTTCCCTTTTTTTGAGAGGTGGGGGATGGCAAATAACTTCCGTAGTAAAACTTCTGTTCTGTACAGCTTTTATGACGGTTGTTTTAAACGTTCTTTGTCGTGCTTTCCTAGGTGGGTTTCTCTTGTTGACATCTCGTGCTTTTGGTTTATGACTCCATGTTTTGTTAATAATTCCATAATTCTAATATATATAAAAATCTGAAGTTTCTTTGGATATTATGTTTCTCTTTCTTCGTCTATATCTCTCTCTCATACAGACAAATTTTGACATTCGGTTTCATCTTTGACATAGGGTGTGTTGAAGTGGTTGGATGTGTTAGACGTGAAGAACTAGCATGCTGGGAGATGGTACCTGAAGGGGTGGGCTACCTATTTACTTATGACCTCTTTATTTCATAATATAGCAAGGTGATGATTTCATGGGCTCCAAGACTGTGTTGATTAAGCTTTGACTGTTCATAAGCAGGTGAGGCTGGAAGCACAAACTGATTTATGTTGGCTTTGCGAGCAGCCACAGGTGTGTATTTTCACACTGGTCCATTTCTGGCTACTCCTGTGATATGAAGAAGTAACCATTTTATATAATAAAGCTTTTGTTTATCTGATTAATGCAGAAATTGTTAATTCCGTTTGAGATGCGTGGGTACCAAGGCGTTTATAACTTGGAAAAGAAGGTGCATACTCTCTCTCTCTCTGAGTATATTTTGTAGTGGATCTAACTTATTTACCTGTCTCAGATATACGAAGCTGCTATTAGAGGTCTTACCCCGGTTGAAGGTCCCCTTCCAGTAAAATTTTTACTTCCAAATCCACAAGATCCATTTTCGTTGAAACCAGGGTCTATCTCTGCAAATGTCCCAGAAACTAGAACTACTGAACTGGAGAGATCTTCAAGTCTCACAGCGGCTATAGCTGCTGCACGAGCAGCAGCTACACAGTTCTCCAAGAAAGTTCAAGATTTTGAAACAACTCCCCAAACCAATACAGCACAATCTGTAAGGACACTTCCATTAAAGAGTGAATCTTTTGAAGAGGATACAACACCATCTGCTAACTTAAGTGAGACCTCTAATAAGGGGGCATTAACATCAAATAACAAGGAGAAAATAAGTCCCATTAAGTATGAGGGAATCACCAGCCCCATTCAACCTTCTTCTGGAGGTTTGAGACCTCATCCTGGTGCACCTTCTAAGGTATGCAGTTTCTTCTCTCGGTTTTGTAGCATACCTGAAACAAGTGCATGCACACTTTGATTCCATTATAAGAATTGTGTGTGAAGTCAATGTAGTTTAATATTTTATAAGGTCTAGTTTCATTTTAATTTGATTTTTATGCATGACTTTAACACGTAATACAAGCTGAAATATGACAATTTTGGCACATAATTTTGTGTGCTATTTCACTGTGGTACCGCATCAGGTGTGCCCTTTGATGCTCTACTGCAAGCTGATTTTGAGTCTATACTTGTAACTTAATTCCCTCTTCACCTTCCTTACAAGCATATTTTCTTATTGCATAATTCCACTGCTTGCAGTACAATAACGTCCTTTGTTCTAGTTCATTCTGTTCCCCTGTTTCGGGAAGAAAAAAAATCAGATTTGAATTATTTTATATGTGAAATCTGGTTTTGTTTTTTGTGTAGCTGTATGTAGTATTTGATTTGAGGTTGGGTCATTTTAACCAAAAGGCATTACAAGGCTGCATAGAATATATCTGGTTGTGGAGTGAAGACGGAACTATAATAGAATTCTTACTTTGGTTTGTAAAACAATGCATCAGTAGGGCAGCATTTCGCTTAGAGGGGAGCGCGTGAAGCGGAAGAGAGACTGTCCGCATGAGTAATGCAAACATTGGTGAGGATCCAATGCCCCAAAGCCCTCTTGGTTGAAAACAAAAGGCTCCTGAAAGTGGAAAATAGCCCGTTTCATCTGATATTTGTCAGCTGTGGGTTTATTAAGCATAGGCTAGCTCTAGTCACCTAATTTGGATCCTATTTGATGTAACCTAATATTGATGGTCAGGATGCAATAATAAACCTGGTAATAAGTGGCGCTTGTGATGCCATCTTCTTTCAATTTTTTTGATTGTGCATGTGTTGAAACTCTTGATGTACTACTGTCAATTAGTGGAGTGTAATAGTAGCCATTTGTGAATTGCCTGACCTGAAGACTTTTGTCAATGAATTTTAGATTTTTGCTGCAGCGGTGAGAGCACTGAAGCCGTCATGAGATTCATATATTCTTTGAAGGTGGAACTCTGTTGCAAAATATGACCCTGTCGTTTGCAGCACCAAGCTGTTATGTCAAATTGGAATGCTTTTCTACATGGCCTGCATTTTATTGTATATGTAATATGTATACTGGGAGTGTTTGGGTAGATCTTGATGTTAGTTTAGGGGGATGGATGAGGTAACTGCATGATTGTCAAATTTGAAGTAAATGCAATATGTTATTTTTTTCTTCTTCTTGTGTTTGTGTTTTTCAAGTATTATTTATATCTAGTGGAGTGGGTGGATATTAATTGAATTGAAATGTGTATCTTCTGACGGACACGAGTTCACCACATGATTGTTAAAGAAATTGACAAGAATACTAATATGTCCTTGAATTGCTACAAATATGAAACTACAATGGCAAAATTGACGAAATTGAAACTATGGGATCAAAAATGGTTGAAGTGCCAGACTACTGGGACCAAAAGTGACTTTTGGCCTTTTATTTTTATATCGAGCAGGAGCAAGCAGCAAACCCCATAGTCCATAGATACATATAAAGTAGATGATATATACTCCATTTGCAACAGAGGTCCATCCAAATGGGTGTTAGTGTTTCATATTTGTTGTTGTTGGTGGTGACTTTATTAGTATTGTTGATTAATGTGGGAGTGGGACTCCCAGTAGCAGGATCAGGTTTTAAAGAGAGGGTGAAGGCCTCTGATTCTGAAGCTGAAGCAGAAGCCGAAGCAACAGCAGCTTCTTCTATGTTACCCAAACGCTTTCGATCTCCACCTCCGCCACCTCTGTATAGTCATACTCGTGGCCATTTCGCCTTAATACCTCCTCCTCCTCCAGAGACGCCAATGTTGCCACCACTGCAGCCATCTCCATCATCAGCACCACCGCCGTCGCTGCCATTTCCGTCACCATCACTACCACCACCACCACCACTGTCACCATTGGCATCTCCATCACTACCACTACAGCTGTCACCACCATCGTCGTAGATATATATAGAGAGAGAGAGGATAACTGAGACACCTTGTATTCTTTCATCTTCTGCATATTATCAACAGAATATCTTACTTGAGGTTCCTTAATTGAACAAAAACAGAAAACCATGTGTTTCCTCTCTCAACTCAACTCTCAAACACTCAAATGTCAAACAAATTCAATGATGGTTGTAATTAGAAAATTTACAGTTCGACTGGTGATTGATTAACAAAGTGGCAGCTTAGCTTCAGCCATCACTCAAATTTTGGGTGAAAAATGGTATGTCCGCAGCATTGATTGATTATGATATGGATGTGGATGTGGATGTGAGTGAGGCATATCATCTTTATTAATGCTTGCTATTCATCCTCATTTACTCTCCTCTCCTCTGGATCACTTCTTGTTACATATCATTAATTGACTTAAATATTTCATCCACCCCAGTACCCTCCTTTTGCTATCGACATTAATATTTCCATCAGTTTCTTCCGCTCCCTTTATTCAACCACAATTCTCACACTCGTGGCTGGCAACAAACCATACAAGCAGGTGGTGGAGATGGGATGAGATGTGATGAGATGAAAATCTCTAAGTTTGAATTCTAAGTGGAAATATTCTATTCTCAGATACAACTAGTATGTTAAGTTTTTCTAATACCAATATTAGTACTGTAATTGGTCGATAAAATATTAATACTATGTTTATGTCATATCAAGACTATATGAAATTGTTTAATTAATATATATCGAAATAATGACACAATAATGTATTGGCAATATCGATGTCATATAGAGGTGATATTGATATAACGACACTAGCTACTACAATAAAGCTACTCGAAACCCTTGCATACACATGATGCAATGTAATAAAACACGGATGATATTAATTAAGCAGATAATTAATAGATTATCCGATGAAATGGAACTCTCCTTTCCTTTTATAATTAAGTAAGGAAAGGAAGTGTTGTTTCTATTTATTATTATCTTCACAATTTGAACGAAAGCAGACGCATTTACCATATTCACACTCCCCCAGGACCGCCTCTTCCTTGTGCCCGCAGGTCTTGTCACAGTTTGGTGCCCATCTACACCTTCCATGCCATGTCCTGCTGAATGACTTACACAAGCTTCCTTCGCTATTTCCTACAGTATATGCATGTATGCCATTGCCAATATAATTAATAGATGGACTCGAAACAAAGATGCCAAATGGGGAGGCCACGCGGCTATACTTTTTTTTTGGGAATAAATCGAATAGCCGAGCGGCTATACTATTTAATTATATTATATTCAAAAAGCATAGCCGCTCGGCTATACGGGGGTCCTTTTTAAATTTTTTTTAATCAATAGTATAGCCGCTCGTCCTTTTTGTTTAAGAAAATTTTTTTTTCCCCTATTTTCGTTTATAGCTAAGAGTAGTTTATCGCATTATTCATTACTATTAGGCCAATACCCGAGTCTCTATTTTCCCTTTTTGATTTTTAACTTTTCCAATGGTATCATCCGTATAAATAATTTAGTATTTTCCCTTTTAATAGTCGTATTATACACGTATGTATGTATTTTTCAATCATACTTCCGTTTTTTGTACACGTGTTAAAGGCTCGATACAATACAAGTTATTTTAAAAAGCAAACATACGATACACGTATTGTACATGTACATACATATTTTTCATGTTTAATACAAGTGTTTTTTACAAAGTTTTCAATAATACACACAAAATTCACGTATTACACACATAATTTTCACATATTATTGAATAAAAATAATGTATATTGAAATTTTAAAATAAATTATTATAAATATTATATAGTGACCAAACTTTTCAGTTGTAACTTGCGAAAATTATATATATATTTTTTAGGGTTAATTACAATTTAGTACCCTGTACTTACACTCTTAAGACATGTTAGTCCCCGTATTTTCAATTTTAACAATCGCATACCCTTAGTTTGTAAATTTTTTGCAATGTGGTTCCGCCGTTAGGGTTTCTGTTAGATCT